ATGACATGTTGACATATATACATACACACATACTACACATTAACGTCTTTCCTAGCCAACAGAGCAGAAACCGAAGCTAGTCTGAAGAATCCACTCGAAGTGTTCAAAACATCACCTTTCGCAATAAACGCCGCTTCTATAATTCTCCGTTGGGTTTTAGAAAAGTTTTGATCCACATGTGTAGCCCGCGTCCAATCAGGTAAATGCCCTTCTTTCTCAGCGTGAATAACAAATGCATTAGAAAGTCTGTGATTACGTAAATCCCCCCTGTGTTCACGGACCCGTATTTTGAGACCCCTACCAGTTTCCCCGTAGTACACCCGCGGGCACCCACCCCACATGGAATTTTGTAAACTACGCTGTCTCTGTTGCGAGGCTGTTTCCTTTTTTTACGCATTATCCCACCTATCTTCTGCCCCCCTACAGAGACTATGCGCAGCGCAGGACCTATCAGTTTCTGAACCGTCTCATTCAAGGGAGAATGCGGAGCTATTACCATTGGTTTGGTTTCTGCCACAGGCTGACCAGCTACAGCTGAGAGCTGGTTATCTGAGGTGACAGATCGGGACCATATCTTCTTTGCTTTGTCTCTCAGAGATAAAAGCATGATTAAAGGGAATTGAAGTTTCATGAACGTTTGAACCACATAATCGATCTCGTCACGTAAAAAGTATTCAGAACATATTCTGAAGGCGCGCAAAAAGAAACCAATAACGACCCCGGATTTAACTCTGACTGTGCCCTGAAAAGTAGTGTATAAGGTCATCCTTGTTTGTTGGCTTTCGGTAAACAGTGAACTTAAGTGAGTCTCCCGTTCTGATCAATAGCGTGTCTAAGAAGGGAAGCCTGTCGTTCTCTTCCTCCTCCACTGTGAATTGTATAGCGGGATCTACTGCGTTTAGTTCATGGAGGAGGTTTGTGATATTAGTTTCTGATGGGATACATGCCAGTACATCATCGACGTATCTAACCCACAAGTTTTGCTCCCCCACTATACGTTTGAACTGGTCTTCCTCCATTTTCTCCATATATAAGCACGCTAAAACGGCACTTAGAGGGGAACCCATTGCTAATCCGCTAACTTGTATGAATTCCTTGTCATCGAAGGTAAAGGGGTTGAAGTTGACACAGAGCCGAATTAATGCCATGAGTCTGCCTTTGAGACCGGAAGATCCTCATCACTCACGTTAGATAGCGCCCTGCCTACGGCATCTAGAGCCCCGTCTACTGGAACGTTCGTGAATAGGGCTTTGGCATCAAAGCTCACCATCTTCTTGCCGGTTACGCGGAGATCTCTGATGCGCCTCAAGAGATCACCTAAGTTCTTCAGATGAGCTGAGCTTATAGTGCAAAGAAGGTCAGATAACGGCTTAGCCAAGACCTTAGCGAGCCGATGAGGGGCGCTGCCGATACCGGATGTTATCGGCCGCATTGGAGTGCCCGATTTATGTGTCTTCGGCATGCCTCTCATCGTTGGTGTCCTAGGGCTTTCTTCCAAAAGATGGAGAAGTTTCTTTCCCTTTTCTGCCGTAGGCAGGGCGCTATCTAACGTGAGTGATGAGGATCTTCCGGTCTCAAAGGCAGACTTCATGGCATTAATTCGGCTCTGTGTCAACTTCAACCCCTTTACCTTCGATGACAAGGAATTCATACAAGTTAGCGGATTAGCAATGGGTTCCCCTCTAAGTGCCGTTTTAGCGTGCTTATATATGGAGAAAATGGAGGAAGACCAGTTCAAACGTATAGTGGGGGAGCAAAACTTGTGGGTTAGATACGTCGATGATGTACTGGCATGTATCCCATCAGAAACTAATATCACAAACCTCCTCCATGAACTAAACGCAGTAGATCCCGCTATACAATTCACAGTGGAGGAGGAAGAGAACGACAGGCTTCCCTTCTTAGATACGCTATTGATCAGAACGGGAGACTCACTTAACCCTCGCGGGCCCGGGGGGGGCGTTTTTCGCCCCCCCCCCTGGCGAATATTTGCGATAACTCCCGAACGCTTAGGGATAGGAAGGCGAAACTTTCGGTACCTTTTCTCCCATCAATTTGACATCTTCTGAAGTAAAAAATTTGGACCTAGCCCCCTTGATGACGTCACAAGGTCCATTTTTCTAGACCCCTGCACGGCAAACTTCGGCGTCACAGACGCAAACTTCAAATAGCTGCTAAAAATAGAGTTTTAGAGATAAAGACAAATTACGAGCACGGCTGTGTAGCGTTTGACCTAGAGAAAAATAGAAAAATAGTTTTAGTGACCTGAGGTCAGAGGTCAGGTCAACGACCCCGAAATGTGGTTTTAGTTTTTCGCAAATAACTTCGACAAAAATGGTCCTAGAGCTACGGCAGTGGTACCATCGCATTCGCCTTGTCAAGCCGCGTCGAATGATATATATTTTGTTCGGAAAAGGTCAAGTTTCATGTTGACCTCATGTGACCTCAAATATCCTCTGGTTGACCTTGACACATGAAAGGTCGTTTATGATGGATTTGTACCCGCTGATCACGAATCTGGCATCTATTTTCCTCTAAGCCTTCATTTAGAGCTTCCGGATGGCAAAATTGTCTTATTTATTATTACTAACTTGAATCAGTGAAATAGCCTCTAGCAGGGATACTCTTCTGTGACCTTGACCTTTGAGCAGCCTTGTATCGTAAGATGAACCACAAATAGGGAACTGGTAAGCCTCAAAACATTTCAAAACATCTTGGAAGTTAGCACGCAAGATGTGCGAAAAAGTGCCAAGTTTGAGGTCAATTTTGAGCGTGACCTTGACCTTGACCTTTGATTTGGAGCACATTTTCAGAATCCTCAGATTCTCTTCTTTCGTTTGACACCCAATTTTGTCGGTTTGATGCAGCCTGCCGTCCTCTAGAAGGCTTACTTTGAGATCACTACACATGTGCCGGTTTTGGCCTTTGACCTTGACCTCTGACCTTGAAAATTGACCTGAGGTCAAAAATTTTAGGTGCATTAGAATCGTCTCGTAAGGACCTTTCGTTTGGTATCGCTTTTGTTTCCGTAGCTCCCTTATTTACGGAGTTAGACAGGGGGGCGAAAAACGCCCCCCCCCCCGGGCTGCGGTGGTTGGGATTACCCCCCGGGCCCGGCCGGGTTAAGTTCACTGTTTACCGAAAGCCAACAAACAAGGATGACCTTATACACTACTTTTCAGGGCAGTGTCAGAGAGTTAAATCCGGGGTCGTTATTGGTTTCTTTTTGCGCGCCTTCAGAATATATTCTGAAGACTTTTTACGTGACGAGATCGATTATGTGGTTCAAACGTTCATGAAACTTCAATTCCCTTTAACCCTCGCCCGCACATGGGGGGGGGGGTGGTTGCCACCCCCCCCCAGGTAGTCTTTCGGCTCTGCACTCAACATTTTAGAGCTAGAAGGCTGATTTTTGGTATAGCTGCTCCTCTATCTTTTCTTGATGTATACTGAAAATTTCAAGTTTCTGCGGTTTTTGGTTTTGGAGATATGACCTTGTTTTTCAGGTCATGTCATGACCCAAATGGCCAATTCTCAACATCTGGCGTTGGCTATGGGCCTTGTGAGCTTTTGACACCTTGATTTCGGCCTTTTTTGCCAGTCTTACCTCCCACCTATCATCAAACATGTTGTTCGACGATGTACAGATGTCAAGGTCAGGATCAAGGTCAACCTAGGTCATCTAAGATAATTGCGTTTTAGGCAAGCTGAATTTACTTTTTGTGAAGTTTTTGACTGCATTTTTGGTAACAGCTTCTCAGATCATGATTTCATGTAATATGGACACATAAACAATCGGTGCACACATCAGTATACACACAGACACACACAGACATACAAACACATATAATTGACCTTGACCTAACTTGACCTGAAATGACCTCAGCAGCCAAAACCTGGTCGGGTAGTGTGACAAAGAGGTTCTAGCTGGCTTGGCACCAGAAAACGGCATCGTCATCGGTATATGCTAAGCAGCGCACTTGATATCCAACGGTGACCCAAAACAGCAACATTTTTTAGTTTGACCTGACCTGGAAGGTCAATGAGTGACCTGAGAAGGTAAAACTGGGTATCATTGGATTGGTCTCTTCCCAAAGAATCTTTTTGGTCTTTACCGCTAAGCTCTATCTCCAACAGGAACGAAATGGCGCGGGGGGGGGGGGCAACCACCCCCCCCATGTGCGTTCTAGGATGGGAAAATGGCATGTGCGGGCGAGGGTTAATCATGCTTTTATCTCTGAGAAACAAAGCAAAGAAGATATGGTCCCGATCTGTCACCTCAGATAACCAGCCCTCAGCTGTAGCTGGTCAGCCTGTGGCAGAAACCAAACCAATGGTAATAGCTCCGCATTCTCCCTTGAATGAGACGGTTCAGAAACTGATAGGTCCTGCGCTGCGCATAGTCTCTGTAGGGGGGCAGAAGATAGGTGGGATAATGCGTAAAAAAAGGAAACAGCCTCGCAACAGAGACAGCGTAGTTTACAAAATTCCATGTGGGGTGGGTGCCCGCGGGTGTACTACGGGGAAACTGGTAGGGGTCTCAAAATACGGGTCCGTAAACACAGGGGGGATTTACGTAATCACAGACTTTCTAATGCATTTGTTATTCACGCTGAGAAAGAAGGGCATTTACCTGATTGGACGCGGGCAACACATGTGGATCAAAACTTTTCTAAAACCCAACGGAGAATTATAGAAGCGGCGTTTGTTGTGAAAGGTGATGTTTTGAACACTTCGAGTGGATTCTTCAGATTAGCTTCGGTTTCTGCTCTGTTGGCTAGGAAAGACGTTAATTTGTAGTATGTGTGTATGTATATATGTCAACATGTCATGCAAGGCAGAGGAAATTTGTGAAAAAAGTGCCCGCGCTATATTCGATCGAAACCGAAAAAACGTACTTGACTCTGTAGGTAAAATGTGTCATATCACCCTTGAAAAGTGAATAACACGAAACGTTAAGTGGTTTTGGTGTTTTTATCTTACTTCATATACGAATTAAAATTAGAGTTTTCAATATATTCAACTTTTGTCTTGATTTACAGCTCTAAATATAACTAGGATCAAATCACGACCAGGCACCAGAGCTCAGCCTCTCCAAAAAAGGTCGTGTTTGGACGTGTGTGGTTTGAAAGTGTTTGGCTTGATGTTACAAATAGTGTCACATTTCGGGTGCTGGGATATTTAGGTACAAAATACACCAGTATTTGTTTATATTTCCCACCATTTTGTTTCGGGTCTGTGAAGCGCTAGAAAGCATGGATCGCCTACAGTGGCGCCGGCTCCCCTCCCCGCGGCACGCACCCTCCTCCGCTGCTCCGACGGGGAGGGGCCGCTGCCGGCTGCAGGCCGCGACACCGCGACTCCGCGGCGGCGGCGGCGGCGGCGACCCTTTGTTCGCGGCCTATGCAAATCGAGCGGCCCTTTTGCGCCACCGCTCACCATTACCCATTTACGCCTATCATCGGTTTTGTTTTTCAACCGTTCATGCCTGCTCGTCAGTCGTCACTATGTTTTGTTTTGCCGAGTTGCAGAGTTGTTCCGGGTACTGGGGAAGGGAGGGGAGGGGGGGGGACTGCACATCGACCGGCGGCCCGTGTTGTCCCTGTAACCCTGGTGACCCCCACTGACGTCATCAGTCTGGAACGCCGCGCCGCCGACTCACTGAACACGATCGATTCTGCCGACACACCGACTCGGGGTGTTGATGTTCGACGCAGTTCCAGACCGGGACAAAGGGCCGACGGAGGAGCCGGAGCCGCACGAGCTGCACTGCGTCCACCGGCCGGGTCAGTGGACAGAGCGGGTGGTCCAACAGTGTGTGGACGGTACTGAGCCCTGTCCACCGGAGCCGACCACGGCGGAGGCGGCGAATATCAGGTGAGCCGGGCCGACCTGTGTGTGTGTGTGTGTGGGGGGGGGGTCTGTGTGTCCCTGTGTCTGTTGTTGAGTGTGTTTTGTGCGTCTGTGTCTATAGTCAGACTATATGTGTTTATGTAACGGTTTGTATGTGATTCTGTGAGTCTTTGTGTGTCTTCTCTGTGTGCTAGGTACCCGTCTGAGTGTTTGGATGTGGGTGCTTACATGCATTAACGGGGAAGAGGGCATAGGTGGCGGAACGGGGGGGTGCACCGGGGAACCGTGTCCCCTTGATTTCGGCATTTTAACATAAGCCCTATGGGCTTTGCATGGAAAGAATGGAGCTAAAAGTCAGAAATGCCCCTTTAATTGAAGCTGTTCCGCGCTACTGCAAGGGGCAAATGTCCCGCAGTGGCTGCCAGTTGCCTCTGCAGTGACGAGATTTTGCCCACCCTGTAAGAGTAAATATAATGCGCTTCAAATATTATCCAAGCTGTCAAACCCGATGTGAAAGTCAACCAATTTCCTGTTTCATTTTCATATTTTGTCGCAAGTGTTTACACTGTTCTTAGTCTAATATCGTAGAGAACATCCAGCGGCGTATCCACAATCTTGAGATTACCTTTGCCTTAGGGTACCCAGTGGAAACTTTTTACCCCGCGCCCTGGTGGGGGGTATTTCCCCCCCCCGTTCCAGTCGTTTCGCATTATCTCTCAAATTAATGCTCCGATCGCCGCGAAAATTTCAGAACCCTCTTGTAAATCGGTTTTACACCTCGTTACCTTTTCTTCCACAGTCTATGATAGGTTGGCCGCAAATGACGTCAGAGTGACGTCACGTTCAGGCATTTCCGACCCAAAAGAGGTTTGATGGGAGGAGCTGTCAAGACCAAAGTTTTAAAGATAAAGGAAAATGTTGAAAAACAAAAAGATATAAAACGAGCAGCGCTACAAAACTGCTATCTTGTTTGTTATATATTTGCTTTGATTTTGAACCCCAATTAACCCGCGCCCCGTTGGGCTCTGCCGAGCAACGCACCCCGTTGGGGGGGGGGGCAATTTGCCCCCCCCCCCCCAAAGATCTCGAGAACCACGCAACCTAGCGACAAGCGGCAAACGGTGTTGGATAGCCCTATCAGGGAACTACCTTATGACCCAATTTTGTTGACCTAGGTCAAACTGATGATGTCACAGGTCAGGTTAAAGGTCGAATTTTCAGGGTTTGGTGTTTGTATATTTGTTCATGAACAGTTCGTGAACAATGTTTGTTTGCTTGTTTATTTGATAGTTTACGAATTTTGGCATTCAAGGTCACATGTTCACTTACGATTCTCTGTTCACGAACAGTTCGTGAACGTTCATGAACGTTCATGAACAAGTCATCATTTCTGATATATTTCGAGTAACTGTTAGCATACGGTGCAGACATGACTGCAGGCAGGTTTTACATGTGAAATATGCACAAGCCACAAGTCATATCTCAAGCACACTAAGGTTATTTGGTGCAGTAGGAGCTTTCCGCTAATAACTTCCGATCAAATTGAGCTAGCGAGTCGGTTGAGCCATCAACTGACTCAGAAAGAACTGCCACATCGAATGATATGCAGCATGACATCCTTCATGCAGCTTTGTGACCCGAGTGGCTTTGACCTGACCTTGACCTGAGGTCAACATCCTAAAAAGACCTGATCTAAACAAAAAGTATATCGTGTTTTAAAGTCATTTTTTTTTTCCCAGGAAATTAGTTATGTATAGTCACTTTTCGGATTATTCTCTGGGATAATAATATATAACTCACAAGTCCACTGGACTTGTGAGTTATATATTATTATCCCAGAGAATAATCCGAAAAGTGACTATACATAAAAAGTATATCATTCGACGCGCCTGGCCACGACGAGCACGATGGTGCCACAACCGTGGCTCTGCCACCATTTGAGGCGAAGTTATTTACCAAAAATCAGCCTCTACTTTATGACACTTGACCTGACCTCAGGGGTCACCGGTTGGTGTAAGACCTTGAAATTGGATACCAATCGCTGTGGTTTGTTAAGACGCACACGCTGGCTTTTCCCGCAAGGTTCTATCTCAATTAGGAGCGAAATGGTTAACCCTATTAGTGGCAGGGGGGTTGTTTTTATCCACCCCTCAGGTTTTTCGGGAATATCTCCGAAACCGCTGAAGCTACGATGCTGAAATTTTCTGACTGTTCCTAAAACTAAATTAGGTACATTCCCTGAAAATTTCAAGTTCATAACTTTACCAGGGGCGGCTCCAGAGCACTGGGAATTGGGGGGTCCTATTCGTGAAGCGAGTCATTTGGGCGAAGATCACGATGCTGCACCAGTTTTACGAACAGTGAATGAAAGGTATCATGTGATAACATATACAAAGTTATTGTGCATCCTCTTTTGACACGTTTTTGCTATAATAGGCGGATCCAGGCGTCCAAATAGGGGGGTTATTTTTTACCTCCCAACATAGGTGCCCTGACACCGCCTATGCATGACCAATACAATTTTAGTCGTTCTCTCATAAGAAAATTGTAACATAACAAGACCATTGCCACCCTTTTAAGAAACAGTACCGACAAAAACCTTATTTACTATACTTTTTGTGTACCCCCAATCTCAATGATCTGTATCCGCCTATGATTTTTGAAAATGCATATTTTTAGGATCCATGTGAATTCCTGGTTCATTCTCTATCGATCGGCAAAAGTTGCGTTAAGATTGGTTCAGAAACCTGGCCGTGATAAACAGTCTAAAATGTATCTGCAATTTGCCCGTTTTTACCCCCCTCTACCCCCCTATTGATATTTTTTAATTTTATTTTTTTTAGAAATGTAGATCTCGTTGAGCCAAATCGAATGCCGTTTGAATTTTGAAAATCGGCCCGTTAGATCTCGAGATATCAAGGGGGGTCGTAAACAGCCCCCCCCCCCTGCCACTAATATGGGGTAGCCAGGAGCCTGCCACTAATAGGGTTAAAGAGGGGGTCTTATCTACCCCCTCTTTACCGTGTTCGCGAACAGTTCATGAACGTTCGAGAACTCTTCGTTGTTTGTTTACCAAAATTTGACCGATGACGTCACTTGTTCACGAACACATTTGTTCGTGAACAGTTTGTTTATGTTTGTTTATTTGAAAAATTAAACAAACACCAAACCCTGACATACATATATTACATGTACTGCAGGTAATGCTGCCTCATCCTAAGGTAAGACTGAAGCCATAAGCCATGGTGAGCCGTAGGATGACAAGTCGTGTGGTGAATGGTGCTGGTCAATGATTTGGGCCTGTATTGGACATAATATTTACGCTACAAAATTTATAACGATACAAAATTAAAATAATTAGCTACACATAAGAGCTGAACAAAATATTTATGCGAAAAGTTTTCAAAAGCTGTCAGATTGATCAATTGACATCAATAAAATATGCCTAGTTCAGAATATAGGGGAAAGTGGGGTAAGACGGTCAGGGTAGGTAAGACGGGCATCCCTTCTGCAGACCAAACCAATAGCGCTACGAGCGAGAAAAATTAGGACCAGAATTGCCTTTCCCACTACACACCACCATTGAATTCTGGTGAACTTGTGTCCAATCGATAATGTTTTATTTTGATTTCTTTAAAACACTCATTTCATTGAAAACATCCATGATGTATTGTGGAAGCTTTTGTGTGCAGCACTATATAGTTAAAAACTTGCAATCACTTGTGGTACACTCATATGCCACCGGTGTTCATTTACCGCGGATTTGCTTTGTCTGCATCAAATTGTCCACAGAGCAAAATTGTGCTGAACTTCTGACATTGAGTTTGGGGTAAGACGCGCAACTATGAATCCAATGGGTCTGTAATGGTGAAAATATTTTTGTTGCTGTGGGAAAAAAGAAACATTTCTTATAAGAATATGCTTGATTCTGATACTCACATACATGCTAGCAATATTCCTTCGGTACAGTTTATTCTCGAATAATGAATGTGAAAAACGGCTCTTATACATGGCTTCTGAACTAGGGTCTATATACGAGCATACGCCTTCTGCACGAATCTCGTATACTGCCATTTCCGAAGCACTTCAGACCAAAGAGCGACTGTATCAATGCAGCTAATATCGGGTATTTTTTGCGAGCTGTGCTGGTCGGTGAAAGAAGCTGGCCGTCTTGCCTTACCCATGTGACCGTCTTACCCCATGGGGTGGGGTAAGACGTTTTTTTTTGCAAGGTTTTGCAAAAATAGCTGCAGTTTATTTTTTGAATCAGGTTTAAATCCCATCTTCTGGCAAGTGGAAGTAAAATGTCTAAAAAAGGTTATCACTCAGTTTCCCGTTTCTAAGATGCTGCTAAATGGCCGAAAAATGGCTCCAAAGTTGGTGCCCGTCTTACCCCACTTTCCCCTAATGTACTAAATAATTGTGATTTTTGTTTTATATGTCAAAGACCCATTATCATTTTATTTGTTGAATATTCTGTTACGGAAAGTCGCCGTAATTTATGAAATTTACATCGTTTTGATAAAGTACGAGTACATATTCACTCAGACACGGAATTATCACAGCATTGTAGCCACAAACAGTTTTCACTCTGTGTTTTCTACATCTGTAGGTAAGTGTACTATGTTTGACCTAGACAAATGCCTGACATTGGTTCAATCACCTTTCCAGCACAAATGACTACTATTCCAAGTCAACTTCGTGGTGCCATCATCAGGGTGGACCCAAACAGTGTCATCCTTCCGGCCGGAGTCGGTGACAGCGAGCTGACGGAGCTGCGGAGCTCACGGGAAACTGTGGAGCGGCTGTCAGTCGCCGCCGCCGACCTCCCGCTACTGAGGGGGCAGCTGCCGGAGGGCCTCACGCGCCTCAATGTCAGAGGTGAGATACCGCAGATCATACATGTAATGCCGGTATATGCAAATGGACAGCGTTGATGACAAATGGACGAACTGATCAGCCTCAACTAGCAATTTCCACCATTGATCGTGTACATTATTGTGGTGGGAGGGGGGGCTCAATGCATGCACTTGCATAGGGTCACATGCTTGTGGCGCATGCATGGAATATTAGTGTAATGTCGCGGGGTGATTAAAAAGTCAAGGTACTAGTAATAGTTGCAATGTCACAAACAGCAAATTCCCGAACAACATTAATTAGTCTGGGTCGACGACTGACACTGACTGACTACATAGAGAGCTCGCTGACGACGAGTCTGAGCAGACTGACGAGACTGACTGGCCGCGGCCCTGGCGCGGCGGTTATACAGAGTATAGGTGGCGCCACGATCGACGGCGGCCAGCAGGCACGGGAGGGAATGCAGGCATGGTTACAGTTGGTGGGCAGTTGTTCCAATGAGGAATGCTTACAGCGCAACCACTGGGAGTTGCATATATAAAGTAGTTTCATAGACTACTGTATAACGCATATACCTACTTAGTGCATATACTTTTGATGTTCATATTGACATTCTACATGACTGCTGAGTGCTGATGCTAAAAATTGCTGTGCGGCCGCTCGGCTGTGTCAGTTCTGGCTGTGTCAGTGTCTGACACTCTGGTGTCAGTGGTGCAGCGGGGAGCTGGCTGCAGCTCTGTCCGACTGCAGTCAGCTGACACAGCTCTGTCCGACAGGGCCGGAGGTGACGGAGCCGAGGTGGCCGGAACGGTTCTGGTTGTGTGATGATCTGTCAGTGTCGCTCCAGGGGGTGGCTGCCGACACCATCAGTCACCTGGCTGACCTGGGACGGACGGTCATACGACTGTATTTATACGGTGAGCAGCGGCAGCACGGACAGGCCGCTGATGTACGGGCTCAGGGAATGGCGGACACCGAGTAACGGTGTGCCGTTGTCGGACCTCATGGAGACAGGTGCGATACATAGCCAATGCGCTTTGCGAAATAATGAAGCCAACTGAGCTCCAAACAATGGAGGATGTCTGTTCAGTCAATGCCACATTCGTTCAGACTTAGTTGAACATACACATAATGATTGTAATGCAATGTTCAATGCAGTTCAATCAAATGCATTGGCTGAAGTGATTGCATATCATATAGTGCCAATATTTTACCATTGGCTACTGTGTCCATAAAATAAAACAATGCGAATTCATAGATGTTTCGTTTTTTCCATATATCGACATGTATCCCAGTCGGCTGATCCTGTCTGTATGTGTGTCTGTGTGTTTTCCAGACTCTCCTGATCTCACGACCGGCAGCCTGGAGCCCCTCACCAGGTGCCCTGAGCTGTATGATCTCACCCTGTCCGGCGGCGTCCCTGACACCGTGAGCCTGGAGCCCCTCACCAGGTGCCCTAAGCTGCTCAGTCTCACCCTGTCCGGCGGCGTCCCTGACGCCGTGCTGGACAGTCTCAGCGGCTGCCCCGGGCTGAAGTTCCTTACACTGGGGGACCGCCAGCGGCCGGCAGAGACGGCCCTCACAGCAGCAGGGGTCAGCAGGTCAGTCAGCAGACACTGGCGAGGGGTGTCCTGTCAGACACTGACACTGACAAACTGACACTGACACTGACACACCGACACTGACACTGACACACTGACACTGACACACTGACACTGACAAACTGACACTGACACACTGACACACTGACACACTGGTTCTGACACACTGGCATTAACACACTGACACTGACACACTGGCACTGACACACTGACACTGACACACTGACACTGGCGCACTGATACTGACATGGAGACTCTGACACTGACACTGACACACTGACACTGATACTGACACACTGACACTGATACACTGACACTGATACACTGACACTGATACACTGACACTGACACACTGACACTGACACACTGACACTGACACACTGACACTGACACACTGACACTGACACACTGACACTGACATGCTGACACTGACACCAACACACCGACACTGAACTACTGACACTGACACTGACTCGTACGTCCGGTCGGCTGGTGCCGCTGTGTTTGTGTGTGACGGCTCTGCTGCTCTGCTCTGTTACAGACTGGTGAAGTCGTGTCGGCAGCTGTGGTGGCTGTACCTTCACTGCACGGCAGACACCGGCCAGGCCGTGCTGACCGCCCTGAAGGAGGCGGACCTGGGCCGGGACAGGGATGGCGAGCCCCGTACCATCCGTCTCTTTGTCCCCGGTAGGTGAGAGGGCGCCGCGCGCCGCGCCTCTGACCAGTCAGTCCCTCACAACAGACGCTGCACGGCGCCACCTGCCTCTCAGACACACACATTCGCCCACCGCCGCAGGCCACGTCACGGACGGTGACGTGACGCGTCAAGGCCACCACGGCCGACGGTGACGTCACGTCAGCCGTCTGCCCTGTGTGTGTCGTCACTGGCCGGCGGTGTGTGGACATGGCTGTACCGCTGTCTGTGTGTCTGTCTGTGTGTGACGTGTCCACATCAGACGTGTCTCTGCTCTGTCCACAGGGGAGCTGTGCCGTCAGCTGAAGAGCCAGGAAGGCCGTTGGGTCAAAGTGTGGGAGTGGAAGTATTGATGCGCTGCACTACCGACCGTGCAGTGATGAGCTGACTGCAGAGAGGCCGAGCCAGTCGGCCGGGGCCGCCAGCTGACTGCTGCCGTGTGGGCTGCACCAGCCGGCACTGAGAGCGGCGCCGGTCAGCCGGCACACGGCCCCCGTGTCCGCTCTAGTGTAGTCATGTAGTTGTAGTGGTAGTAGTGTTGATGTAGTAGTAGCACACAGATGTGATGTAGTGGGTAACTACCGGGTGGGTATTGTGGGTAATTGGACGGTAGATGTGATGTAGTGGGTAATTACCGAGTGAGTAATGTGGTTAATTGGACGGGAGATGTGATGAAGTGGGAAAATATCGGGCGGGTATTGTGGGTAATTGGACAGTGAAAAGTGATGTGCTGGAGAGACTACCGATCATTTCATTACGCTATTCTGTATGTAGAACACACGTCTCTGACGGTCCGACTCGGTTCACCGCGCCTGGTCCCGGCGGCACGGCCGGCCTCGGTCACGTGACCGTCCCCCGGTGGAGTCGGACGGCTCGGTCACGTGACCGTCCCCCCCGGGTCTGGCTGCACCTCGGCTCGGCGGTGCTGAGCGCCGTGCTGAGCGTGTTGTGACACGTCCCACACGGACAGCTCTACTCGACTACTGGCTAGCTGCCGTCCGAGCTGGCAGTATCCACGCGGTGCCAGTTCAGACGGCGGCCGGCCGCGCCGCGCCCGCCCGCTCCGGTCCCGGCCGGCGGCCGTCACCCGGCCCGGGGCGGTGACCATTGGTCAGTCAGCTGGCCATTGGTCAGTCAGCTGACCATTGGTCCATCAGCTGATTGGTCCGTCAGCTGATTGGTCCGTCAGCTGACCACTGGTCAGTCAGATGAGTGGTCCGTCAGCTGCTTGATCCGTCAGCTGATTGGTCCGTCAGCTGGTTGGTCCGTCAGCTGATTGGTCAGTCAGCTGATTGGTCAGTCAGCTGATTGGTTCGTCAGGAGACGCTTCAGCTGTACCATCTGTAGCCTAGGGCAATTAGTTACCGGGTTAGTATTGTGGGTAATTGGGTGAAGTGATGCGATGTAGTGGGTAATTACCGGTGGGGTATTGTGGATAATGTAACCCTGGGTATGATATAGCCGGCTATCCGACGGTCGGATATAGCCAGCTGGATGCTACTGAATTGTGTAGAGCTCTGACGGCACCGGTCATAACGAGTGTCCTCGCGTCTGTCCGACTCGGTTCACGGAAGCACGCCGTCACGGCCCGGGTGCGCGCCGCCATGTTTTGTGTCCTCTGCTTCGTACAGGGGGTAATTGGGCTACCGACCGACTGGGAGTCGGAGTCGGAGTCCGTGTCGATCAAGCTGCCTTGACTCCGACTCCGGAACGGCTTTTTAGATTTTAGTTATCACTTGGCCATGCTACTGATAATCGGCTGCGCTTTGACTAATACATTTTACACATGTCCAGTCTTTGTCCTGGAAAACAGCTACCTTCGGAGCTTCCCTCATCATTTGTGCTAATGTCCTGATGACCTGAGTACAGTTTGGCTCCACCAGAGGGGGGTGGGGTGTTTCTGCGCCGCTGTGCCGCCGCTGCTGTGACCTGCCGAGCTGCGGTCCCGGCTCCAGAGCACACCGTCGGCCGTCGAGGCCTGGTCCTTCTGTTCCGTGCACATCATCAACAGGTGTCGTATATATCTATAATACAGGCCCAGCGTGGGAGTTCACCGCTAACCGGCGGCCACACACTGACTGGCTGGATCGCCACTCGCCGTGTTTCACCGCCTTCCCCGGTGCCGGGCGGACGATAACCTGTATACGACACACCGTTTTACCCGCCGTCATTTGGGATCAGGTCTGAGAGCCGCCTCGGGTAAATCAGCTGCCGTAGCGAGCCATTTGACTGGATCCAGGATCCCATCGGATCCAAGATCAGGATAACTACGTGGGATCAGATTACGCATATACCTTTTCTGAGATTCCTGCACATTGCACATGTGTTTTGGCCACTCTGACTGGTGTCATGTAAGTAGTTCCCTGTTGCAGTTCTGTGTGTGTTGTATGGCCTGCACCCGTCCCCCTCACAACTGCAGTGTTCGGTGCTGGTCAGTGACCCACAGCTGACACCGGGCCTCCCACCGCCGGCGGATGAGCCGGCCGGCCCGTGCCCGGCCCTCCATTCCAGCCGCCACGGCCGGCCAGCGGCGTTAGCAGTGACGAACGAATAACGATGGTCTTCCATAACTTCCATAACAACTTCGTCTTCCATAACAACTTCCATAATAGTTTCAAATGTCCCGCCCGCCCCCCTGATCATCCACCGGTGCCGTCCCAGTGGTCGGTCGGGGCTCGACCGGTGGTCGGTCGGCAGACAGACCGACCGGTCACCGCCAGGTCACGGCCGGCCCACTGACAAGCACGCCGTGCCGCCGCCGGGGCCGTGGCCGTGCTCCAGCCGTGCCCTGACCGGGCTCACCGGCTCTGACCCACCGGCCTCAGAGATCTGACACCAACTACCGGCTGGACGAGCCGCCGAGCGGCCTGTCGACCGACCGCTCCCGTATGGCAGCGGGCCGCCGCCAGCTGCACCACCCGACACCGACAACAAGCACCGACACACTGTCACAGCACATCCAGCAGCCGGCTTGTTTCGCTGTCAACCACGTGCACTCACCTGTCCATCAACACACTCACAAAATCAACTTATCACCCTCGCCTGTCCATCAATGCACTCACAAAATCAACCAGTCACCTCTCGTCAAATACACACAAAATAATACCGAGCTCACAACCATTCCCGTATTTATCTGAAAATCCCACCACAGCAGTCACCCCCGTTGCCGTCGTGTGGCCTTTCCGTTGCCGTGCGGGACGATTGTCAGCCCCCGTCGCTGCTGTGGCCAGCGGGCGGCTCCAGCACAGCGGCGAGCGTTACTGGCTGCAGCCGGTGTGTCCGTGCCCACAGCCGGGTGCAGCTGTTGGAGGCCGTGTTGGAGGCCAGTGTGACGTCACACCAGTGTTCGCCACGGGCCCCAAAATCCCCAGCCCAGCCCGGCCCGGGCCCATGGGTTCAGAGCCCGGCCCAGCCCGTAGCCCGCTCTTGGCAAATATTCCAAGCCCAGCCCGGCCCGGCCCGGCAAAAATAGCAATCTAGTTATTGTCTTAGTCTATTGCTATAATAAGCATGATTGATTACACTATTTTGAGAACAATTCAAATTGCATGAATATTAACATGGCAATCATGACTCCCTTCTTTTCAATGAATATAATCATTTCAAGCACCTATGGCACAAATTTTAACAGTAACAGCAAGCACCTCAGTCAATTAGGTCATGATTACACACCTATAAAAAGTTTACATGATTATATTAACTACATTCTATGAGTAAAGTTATCTTGCAAGCTGATGTGTGTGAACATTATCATTCATAATTGGTGACTCTAATGCATACTTGAAGGAAGTATTTGCCACATACTCTATACTTCCCAGCACTTACCAGCAGAAAAAAGCTTGACTTATGGGAATTGATGAATCTGTCTGGGATTGACCTTGCTGTTAAATTCACTCCATAGATGCTGCAATATCAAAAGCCTGAGAAAGCATACAAAATAGGTGACACTAACTTCAGCACTGTCTTCCAAAAAAAGAGAAAATCCATCCATTTATCAGCAAAACTGATCTTATCTATTTTCAACTCATGCCCACGTGTCAACCAAATCTCTGTGGACAACTATCTGCTACTTTCCTTGCTATTTTATGTTAGGCTCTTTTCAAGATATTGATATCGCTAGCAGCGTAAGCAGAAAACATGGTGAACTTGAAATGTCATTGGGTACTTTTGCGACTTTTACGCATCACCATCATCAATCAAAAATGAGCGAACACTTCTTTATTGTCGCAGCTGCGGCAGGTAGCGATTTTGACCAATTGTATAATAAAACATATATGATCAAGTTTTTGTTTTGTTTTTCGTTCGAGTTTTCAGACTTCGTGATTTAGGTTTTATTTTTTATTTGTTTAGTTTTGTTTTTCACCTTGATACTTACTTTAAAAACGTATTTATTTGATATACTGTTGTGTATATTACCTAGATGCCGCCACATAAACATAGGGCCGCCGCATGGCCGCCGCCATGATTGCAAATTTTGTTGAGAAGGGGCCGGTTTGTTGTGACTTATTTTGACAAATTTATGGACATTTAAAGAAGCTTTCATCGCGAAATACTCTGTAGAGTTCCTCGTTACTTACAGTGTGTTTTGTGAGTATCCTTTTAAGGTTCTGTTCGTTAAAAAGCCGTCGGTGAAGGAAAAAAGACTGTGTTGGAATTGTCTCACTATCGCCATATATAAGTGTTAAACTTAATGTAGCCCTGTGGCCCATCATTGTTGAGTGGCTTCTTAGTTTTTGGAGTTGTAGTGCTAAGTAAGTTATTCTGATGACTACATTTTAACTTTTATTACAAACTAATGATGCTAGAGATTCTCTGATCTTTTTGGTTCGGAATTTTTACGAAAACCCTCTTATGTGTGACATGATGTGATATTGGATAATTCTCAAGATTCCCAAAATTCAATATCAAGTAGGTTTTCTTTCACATTCCTGAAATTTGGTTTAGTTTTTGTATTTTCCCAGTGGGTTTTGTTTGCATCAGTTTCCAAATTTTCTTAAATTGACATTAGTCGCAAAACCCATAGTGCACAAAGCTCTTGGCCCGGCCCGTCCATAGCCCCTTAACTAATGATATTTGGGGGCCCGGCCCAGCCCGTAGCCCAGCCCGGCCCATGGCCCGTTGGGCTGGCCCGGCCCGTGGCGAACACTGCGTCACACCGTCGTGCCGTCCCAGTCCGTGTCAGTGTCCGAGTGACAGTGGTATATAGGTAATACTGAACGAGGCCGGTGTAAATAATTTTTTTAAGACCGAGGTCCTAACTGAATTTTTGAACGAGGCCGAAGGCCGAGTTCAAAAATCAGGAAGGACTGAGGTCTTGACAATTAATCACCGGCCGAGGTTGGTATGTATTTTACTGTATGCCAAGTGCCAACGATAAAACAATTGTCTAGACCGAAGCTCTTAGCGGTTTTTTGAACGAGGCCATCCCAAAATGTTGACTTGGTATTGCATTTTTGACCGTGGTCACTTTGCTTACACCAGTTATTACCACACCCCTCAGGCTAATGTATTTGAATAGGCCAGGCATACAGTCAGGGGGGGTCCGTCCCTTTACTGTATGCCTGGTCTATTCAAATACATTAGCCAGAGGGGTGTGGTAATAACTGGTGTAAGCAAATTGACCACGGTCAAAAATGCATTACCAGAATGCACTTAAGCCAACATTTTGGGATGTTCTCGTTCCTAAGTCGGCTAAGAGCTTCGGTCCAGAAAATAAATTTATCGTTGGCATACAGTAAAATACATACCAAACTCGGCCGGTGATAAATTTTCAAGACCTCAGTCCTTACTGATTTTTGAACTCGGCCTTCGGCCTCGTTCAAAAATCCAGTAAGGACCTCGGTCTTGAAAATTTATTTACACCGGCCTCGTTCAGTATTATATATTACTGTATGCCTGGCCTATTCAAATACATTAGCCTGAGGGGTGTGGTAATAACTGGTGTAAGCAAGGTGACCACGGTCAAAAACGAATTACCAAGTCAACATTTTGGGATGTCCTCGTTCAAAAAACGGCTAAGAGCTTCGGTCTAGACAATTATTTTATCGTTGGCATACAGTAAAATACATACCAAACTCGGCCGGTGATAAATTTTCAAGACCTCAGTCCTTACTGATTTTTGAACTCGGCCTTCGGCCTCGTTCAAAAATTCAGTAAGGACCTCGGTCTTGAAAATTTATTTACACCGGCCTCGTTCAGTATTATATATTACCGGGCCATAGGAGGAAAATTGCTACCAAATGCTGCCAATGTGACGTCACTGGGATGGTCGAAAGCTGATTGGTCGCTGAGATTCAGGCGATGCTGTCAATTCTGGCGCACCGGCGCAGTGTTTTCCAGCCGTTGCGTGTATTGTTATACGGAGTTTGAATATTGTTTATTTGATAATAATATCACTTTTTATGCGTTTGAAGATCGGAAAAGCATGCACATAAGTGGCATTCACACACTTGTCGTCTCAGAGATCATGAAGAATGACCAGCTTCAGCAGTTCAGCTCAGGTATTCAATTAATTCAACTGTATAAGCATGAGTATCATAGGCAGATCAGCCCCGTTTCAGTTCAACTCGGTTTAACCTTTTTTTGTCATTTTTGGCTTTCAAAGGGAGCATGATAAACTCATATTAAGTTGTAAAATGCCTTAGCATTTTAATGAGAAGGAGAATGGAGATGGAATAGTTGTAAATTGTTTCAGAAGTGGCTAGCTTCTATAAATATTAATGCTTTGTGAAAATAACAACTTATTTGTCAAATCAAATAGTATCAAATAACAAATCAATCTATGCTTAC